CCCTCGAGAACCGCGAATGCGGAGGTCCGGGAGCCGGAACACTGAGCGGCGATCGAACTGTCCCCCCTGTAGTACTTGTGTGTAAACACCCGAGCCGTGCGCCAGCGAGCCGAGTTCCTTCAGATAGTCTTTGTCTCTTGGGAGTATCCCAGTCTCGGATTAAATATGGCGTTAAAAAGTGCGCTAATTTGCTTGTCAGTTAGGGTCAGGGATTACCGAGCTCTGTCGCTGACCTCGTGGTATATATAAGATATATAAAATCTTACGATTCAGAACAGGAAGAACTTTAGCAGTGTATTGTGAAACATTTTATTCTGATGATATTTCAGTCACTTCTGTATTCTGATCATACTTTTTCTATTCACCGTACCTTCTATAGGAAGCACTTAATTTACATCCACCTCAGATTTCAGTTTTCAGAAGGGGTCTGAATGCCGGCAGGTTTGGCTGTGGCACAGTCACTGCTGGCAGTGCCGCCAAGGAGCCTGCACGCTGCTGCCTGCCCTCAGGTTCCCATCCCTGCCTTCGCTGGTGTCTCAGGCTGTGTTTGGAAGGTCTGTGGACCACAGGGGCTTGGCCGCACGTCTCCAGAGGTGGGCTGCTACGTGCGTACCCAACAGGCGTTTCAGAGTCCCAGGCAGGGATCTTGAAGAGCCAAATGCAAGGCTAACAAGCCCACTGCCTTTGGCCACATTACTGAACTTCCGCATAATGGTTAGATGAGCGCTTAAATTAGTCAATCTAATGCCAACATTTAAAAAAATCGCACAGTTTTCTTCTTTCTCAGGAGCAGATTAGTGCTTGATTGGTTGATGCAGCAGTACTACAGGCCTCCGTTTCTTTGACAAAGAGCTAGCAAACAGCAGGCTTGAGTGACAAGACTCCTCCCTTGGGTGAAAGCAAAGTGCAGGTGATCTCTCTCTAAATGCGTATAGTTTGAGAGGAATTCCTTCAGAACTCCTGCAGTTCTATAGCGTGAGGAGAGAACTCTCCCTGACCTTTACATATTCCTG